CCAATTGGGAGTCCCAGTCAACATCGTCCCTTCCAAAAGAAGTTAACGTTCCAGGACGTGACTCCTCCGAGAATTAGACACACTCCTTTCTCTACTCCTGTGACAGAAGAGATATCAGAATCACAGAGAATGTCGCCACCATCTGGGTCCGACTTCCTCGAGTCTGCTGAAAAGAGATTAACTCGCATGTTTAACTTTTATCGGATCAGGAACTCGGAGTCCCCCTTTGTTGAGACTCCAAAGTCTCCAGAATCTACTGAGACCATCTTTTCTCCTGGGTCTCCGCAACCGGAATCAGTCCCTGCTGGCTATAGGCATCCAAAGCATGGCGATTACATCAACCTCAGAAACAGAGAGGGCGGATGGAACACGAAACTGAAAGTGATACGCGGGAAACCACACAAGATGTTCTCAGAGACTACTCCAGGCCTCGAAGTTGATCCCAAAAATATCTCAGTAGTAGAGTGGGAAGAAGGAGTAAAACGTGCTGTTGATGTTCGGCCACAACGATACGGCCCTGCCAGCGACCCCTCATCTATTTGGAGAAGTCTGCGGCAAGCCTAGAACCGGAGAAACTCCCAGTTGCAAATTCCACAAGAGAAGACGGCCTACCGTCGAGGCGCGCAGGAGCGGCGCGCAGGCCGCTCGCGAGGACGGCTGGTCTCCATAAACCACACCATAACACATTTACAACCCCTAAAGCTCAGCGCTAAAGCTCCGTGATGAACTTGTGCTTGAGGTCATGGGTGTAGTCGGCGGACGAGCCACCGAGCTTGCGGAACTCGCCCTTGGTCGTCGCGGCCTTGTACTTCTCGTAGCGCTGGTGCGACTTGCACCCGAGCTGCTTCGGGTTCTTCTGCTTGAGCGTGATACGGGTCGCATCGCCCTTCTGTGGTTGCTTCACTGCGGGCTTCTTTGCCGCTGGCTTCTTTGCCGCTGGCTTCTTTGCCGTGGGCTTCTTTGCAACTGGCTTCTTTGCGGACTCATCATCATCATCAGAAGAAGAAGAAGAAGAAGAAGAAGAAGAAGAAGAAGAAGCGCCCTCACCCTCAAGTGTTTCAGTTACAGTTTCTTTTAACAGTCTTTTGTCATCTGAATCTAATTTCATTTTCAGGTCTTTTGCTGCTTGTTTGTATACTACTTTAATATCACCAGCACCCAATAGCGCATTGGCCTTTGCGAACTGTATCAGTTTGTTGCACCTGTCCATCTTCTTTGAGAAAGCAGATTGCGCATCAGTTTGCGCAGCATCATCATCATCAGCTAGCGCATCATCATCAGAAGAAGAAAAAGGAAAAGGAGAAGCGCGAGCTTTATTTACCTTACGCTTCTTTGCCGCTGGCTTCTTTGAAGGCTCATCAGAAGAAGAAGAAGAAGAAGAAGAAGAAGAGGGAGAAGCACCATCGTCATCGTCATCATCATCTTCTTCATGAGCTAGCGCAGCACCATCATCATCAAGAGCTAGCGCAGCACCATCATCATCATCACCGCTTAGCGCAGCACCAGCAAAAGCAGCATCATCTTCTTCCTCGTCTTCGTCTTCTTCAGCTTCGATACGCCCCTGCGGCACTGGGGAAAAAATGAGTCCATCAACGCCCTTTGCCAATGGGCAAGTTCGCGCAGTGTGACCTACGGGAGGCTCAGCACCAAAGCAAATACTACACGTCGGCTTCGCCCTTTTTCTTCCTCTCATCTGCTGTTTGAGACTAATTGCCCTAATTTTTTTTTTTGGCCTGCCGGCCTTTGCTGGTTGGAAGCTTGGAAGCCTTAAACTTGCATCCGCCAAATGTGATAGGTTATTATCCTGAATTTCAGCAGTTGATGGTATACTTATAGGTGGCAGAGACTGATAGATTGCTAATAATCCTCTGGTTGTCATATGACTTGGCAAGACTGTTTCTATGTTACACGAGGCATGCCTAGCGCACGCAATCAAGTGCGCGCATGGCCCAGCCATAACCCTTTGACAGCCTCCTTCGCAGGTCAATGTGCCAAGGTTCACGCGGAGTCGTTTGTCACCATCAGAGACGATAAATGTACCACCTGCTTCCTTTTTAACTCTCATGTTTGCGGTTTTTTTACCTTCTTTCTCTATTTTTTCATGGAGTTTTGGAGGTGTGAAAGTTGGACATTGCGTCAATGTTTCTATTATCTTTAACCTCCTGCTCTCCATACCTTCCGCTTTCAAGAACAAAAACTCCATTACTCCAGCCTTCCTTGTCGGAATCGCTGCCGCGTTCATGCATTCTACCGACTGACTGGACGTAATACCTTTCAGTGTCCCAGCTGCCGCCAGGTACAGCTGACCTTCCTCACCTCTCTTAGACAGATATTCTTTCAGATCACTATCCATGGCTAACAATTTTTTGGCTAGTTGGACACCCGTAGGGGCCTTGAGAGCGGAAATGTACTGATCCAGGTTGTCCCTGAGGCTTGGCTTGTCTTTAATATTTTC